AATAATTTTAACATGTATTCGAGCAAAAAAGAGAACCACAGGGAGCGAAACCGAACCACTTTTTTCAAAGATACCTCCCTTTCTTTCTTTCTTTCTTTTTCAAAGCTTCTAATAAAGGAAAATTAAGCATGTCAATGTCGTCCAACATGTAGTTTGAATAAGAGAGTAACAGGAAGCAGGGAGACAGAAATAAGCCCCTCAACAGTAAAATTTTCCCTCAGCATGCATTTCGAATAGGGGGAAATAACAGGAAACAGAGAAACACAAGTAAGCCCTTCTCCCCCTACAACCAATCTTCCTTCAATCTTCCTTTCAACAGCAACAGTGAATCGACTCAGCAAGGAGAAAAGAAAGAAGACCGTAGCCTTCAACGTACAGGTACAAAGATAATAAAAGCATAAAAAGAAAGCTTGAATGTATACAGGGATTAAAACATGCTTTCCATAGTATACCATCTCAACTACCAACGTAGAGCATTTAAAGCAGACCCAACAAAAACATTAAAGGCCTAGTAATAGATGACAACACCGTTATGAAATACCAGTTAAGACAAATTGAAGCCTTATACATGCAGTCCCCTATTTTAACGTCCCCAGCATGTGTCGAGCAGGGAAGAAGAGCGAACAGGTCGAGCAGGGAAGAAGAGCAGAAGAGAGGAAACATACCTTGCTCGGGCTTCTGTAATCAACAAAAGAAAGCCACAACACTCCTAAACCTCAAGCTTGCAAGCAAAGCCACTTCACCCTCAAACTCAAGCTCACAAGCACCTAAACGAGAAACGATTTCCGCAGAGTCTCTCCCACGCTTCCAAAATTCATAATCTCACAACAAAACCCTCCAACGACCTCTTATACACGCAGAAGAGAGGAAAGAAAAGAAAAGAAAATCCTCCAAAAGGGAGGCCAACCCAGCGTTCGTCCCAGCAGAAAGAAATCATCGCAGCCAAGACCACAGAGGAATGAACTATCGAGGAGGAGGATTGTCACATTCGTGCCTCAGGGAACAAGAGCGCCAGAGTCAACCTACTGTGAATAGATTCCCGCCTAGCGAGACGAAGCAAAAGAATCTTCAGGAAGTCGCAGTTCGAGTAGAGGATGTCGAGAGAGGCGAGGTCAACTCCTCGTTACGCGAAGAGGGGAAATAATCTCAAAGCAACGAGTGACTAGGGCTCAATCCAAGCCCAGGCATGAAGAAGGGAACCGAGCCGAATGTAGAGGCGAATTAGGGATATAGTGGAGGTTAAAAGCCCCTCCCTCTTTAACATATCTTATATTATATTAATAAATATATATTAATAATATAATATAAAGTAGTTAAACCCCCCGATTCGTGCACGATCCGACATATTAAAATGGGTGTCTTCCTTAGCTAAATTCGATGTTCCGGACGCGTCAGCGCGTTCCGTTTCTTGATTTGTGGTCGCCCGGATGACTTAGTCATCCGTGGTCGCCCGGATGACTTTGTCGACGGTCTGGTCGAAAACGTATCAAAATCGAATTTCTTTGAAATAATCGCTTGTGATCGATCGTAAAGCCTACTATAGGTACAAGAGACGTGAATTTCAATAATTTTGTGCGTTGACGTGTAAATTGTGGTATTCGCGCATCGTGCAAGCTCTCGGAGATCGCGATAGGTTTTCGTATGGTTTCAGATCCTGAAAGTACTCGACTCGAGTTTTGTCATGTCGGTTTTAATCGACTCAACTAAGTGCTGTGGATCTTAGAACCAGTCAGATGAAATTGCAAGGAGTCAAGAAGTGGCTCGAATTTCTAATCGGTGTGGGTCCCAGGCTAATTCTCTAAGAGAGTTGGTAATAGACTCGAAAGACTAGATCTTAGGCTTTAAGAAGAGTAAGAGACCTCACCAAAATTGAGGTCAACAGGTGGTCGATATATTTGAAGAAATAGATATTTAACCGCACTTGCTCTGTGGTAAAAGTGCATTTGAACCAAGTTATGGATTAGAGAGTATTGGCCCATCTTAAATGAGAAATTTAATGCATAATTTTCTATATAAAAAACTTGAAGGAGAAGTTGTTAGAAGGAATGATATCAGGCAATGAGGAATTATGGACGATACCCAAAAGTTAAACAAAAGGCCAGAGAGAGGGTGCAAGGGATAAGAATAATGGACCACAGTCAGAAGCAACAATCAAACACCTTACAAAGACTGAGATTCTGGAGAAAAGAGTCAAGGAGTTAGGTTTTCGGTGCGATGAGAAGTTTATCCATTGTCAATGTTGTAAGAATCGAAAATTACAAGTTTTCTTGGTGCATGATCAAGAGGCCAAGGATGCAGAAACACAGCTGTGATGGAGGGGGAGCACCCACTATTTTCCACCTTGAGGGCGGTATGTCTTTTGTTGTGGGGGGGGGGGGGGGGGGGGATTGTTACGTCGGTGCCTAGGGCAATTTGGTCTTTTGTATGCCCAAGGGAAATTTAGTCTTTTATTATTTTATTTGTTGGATATAAATAAGATTATTATGTTTAGGGTTAGATTTTATGCAGGAGATTGGGTTGTGACTTTTAGTATTGTTACGTCGGTGCCTAGCCTAAGGTCAATTTGGTCTTTTGTATGCCTAAGGGAAATTTAGTCTTTTATTATTTTTATCGTTGGATATAAATAGGATTATTATGTTTAGGGTTAGGTTTTATGCAGGAGATTGGGTTGTGACTTTTAGGTTTAGTGTTTTGGAGATATTTCGTGCCTCTCGAATCGTAGGAATTTGGAGAGATCATCTTTCTCTCGAATTTTAGGTTCTTTTCCTTTATATTTGTGTGTTGTATTGTTTTGATTTTGATGTTCTTGAAGAAAAAAATTGGTTTGCTATAATTTTTTTGGAAAATCGTACCGATTTTGTCTTGGATTGTATCACACCTCTTTGTTAAATTCGCTTCCTTAATGCCTACTAGGAACTCTTGAAGATGTCACACCATAGAGCGCTTTTAATTGAGCATTCTCTATGTCCTACTGCAAGAACTGTTATTGGAACATCTAACTGTAGAAGATCTAGTTAAGTTTCCTTCATGTTCATTTCCTACTAGTCTACTTGCTATTAAGCCCACTCAATCCCATGCTAAAGTTTCGATTTCTAAGAATAGCCCAAACTCAGCCAGGAAAAAGCCCAAGTTTGACCACCCATTAATACCTGCTGCCAAAGAGGGCATATGGCTTTCCCGTGTCTTAAAAAATCATATTAATTGAGAAAGAAATGGAAAATTACACGGGCTTGAAGGAAATAATTAGAGCATGTCTAATATTGTCATATTTTATCCTAAGGAAAAAAATTCTAATTAAACATTAAGGGTGATGAGATTTTTCTTTTATACTCTGGTTCTTTGGGAGAATTGGAAAAGATAATCATCTTTTCTTCTTATGCCACCTGTTAAGATAAAAGAAGAAAGTTCATAGTCAATGTTTGAAACACTATGTAGTTTTGAATTCTAGTTGTCTAAGATTCTACTCATTGGTGTCCTCATCCCAAGCCATTCAAAGTTTTATTGGTTGATGACATCTCTCTTCTTGTAATAATATGGCTGGGAATAATTGATTAAAGTTTTATTAACAACCATCTTCTAATTTCACTTCAAATGCTTCCCTTGATTTATATAGTTTAGTTTGTATTTTGCATCAAGGATTGATATTTAGAATTACGAGAATGAATTTAAACCTAATACCTTTGGTGTTGCGAGCTACTTGAGCTTTTTAACATAATATTGTTGCAACAAACAGGGAGATATTCCTCTTTTCTTATGATTTTCAATGGAGACAACGTAAGTGAGACAAAGCTACAGATGGAGGGAGAAAAGGATTCAAATAAGATTTCTATATATCGATATCAAAGCACAAAAGGGTAAAAGAAAAATGAAAGATTCCTTTTGCAATCTATAGAAACCATCAAGTCCATGCTGTTATGTAAAGGGATGTTTAAATTAGAGGTAAAACTTGATGACTAGGATTTTTTTTCTCCGTAAAATTCTAACCAGTTTTTTAATAATTGTATTCCATTACCTGTTATCTGTTAAAATATTCATCATATTTCAGTTTGTTAACTAACTCTTTTAAGCGCATGATGTGATTAAAAACATTTAAGACTGAAATTTAAGATCATATGAGCATTTTGGCAATCTTGTTCGGTAGGCTTAGCAGTGTTTCAAAATACAATTATTGCATACTGTAAACTCTGATAGAGCCATTTCCTTGGTTCGTGGCTTGATTCTATCTTTCTTCTTTTATCTTTACCCAGTCTCTCTTCTTACAATAAGTATGTACTTCTGTCAACAGCACATCAATAGTTTGCAATTTGCAATATATTAATATTAGAAAATTTTGAATCATTGAGCAATATATATATTTTTATAATCGGCATCTTTTGATTCTAAGACTTAGTGGCCGAGATATTCAAAATTGGCAAATTATGGAATGATGCTGTTATGATGGATTTGGCTTATTTTGTTAATGTAGTGTTGCAATAATAGCACCAATGGCGAAGAGCTGTAAACTTCTGTTCAGGGTTACAGCGTGGGCGTTTAGATTCTTTTTACCTTTCCTTCTAAAAGAATCTGAAATCTTGGTGAAAGTGATACTGGAATGTATCCTGCAGCGCTGCTCACAAAACTCCTAAATTTAGGTGTATTACAAAGATGGATGAGGTAGGAAAGTTTAAACATGCAGAATCTGAGGAAAGATTAAGTTTGTTGCTGTGATGAATGAATAAAAGTTGAAGAATCTTAAGAACCAACTTCAACATTGTGTTATTATGCAAACCTAAATATATTTAAGTTCAATTTGTTCATGATTTCTAAAGAGTATATTAGTATAGAAAGATGATTAGGGTGATAGTGTTGAATCAGGTGTGCATTTCTATTCTAGTTGATAAAGCTATTTTTACTTTTATGATCTGGATGTACTCGTGAATATTGTTAAGTTTCTTACATTTAGGCAATCCTGATCATGAACTTTCCATTTCTTCTTTATGCAAAATATACTTGTTTTGCAGGAAAGGCCATTGTCACTTGATTGGTTATCAACCAATTACTCCAGAAGTTGGTGATAAGCACAGAGATGCTATTAAGCATTCTCGTATACTTGGAAAATCCACACAGCAGAAACCTGGTGGTCATGGTATTGCTCATGAGAAGAGCAATGGAGAAAAAATTGTTGCCCTTCCTACTCTTAATGGTACTTTAGTATTTGTCCTTATATAATTATAATTAAATTAATAATTTTTTATTATCTAAGAAATAATAAAAAAAAAATTGACCTAGCTCATTGAGCAAGTCGTCATCTCACACACCTTAAATCACATTATGTCTCGTGTGAGTACATTTCATTTTTTTTTTTGCTTTTGTGCAACAACACATATAATATGTGTGTTCTCCCTATTTAATTTCAACACTTCGAACATGTTGACATATTCCAATTTTTCAAATGGATGATGTTTGAGAGATTTAATTGATGTTGAAGCAATTTGAAATCGAGTTGCATGATGTCATATCCCTAATCCATCGTTTTGGTCGATACACCCGTGCAGATTTTATGTATCAACCTACACAAGTTAATATCAAAATCTAAGATTCATGAAGTTCTCATTAATTGAACTGTTTATTTTTTTATATACTATCAATCTTTATGTCACCATTTTGATTACTTTTTATTTTTACTTATGTATTTGCATTCATTGGTCTCTAAAATAATTTCTTTTATCAATAAATATATTAATATTTTGACTCAACTCAAATCTAATAATTGATGAAATAACAGTAGGAAATAATTGTTTGATGAAGATGGACAATGCTATATTTCAAGCCTGCAGTAACATTTGCAAATAGTGAGGGCAATGGCCAATAGGAGGTTTAGGGTTTTGTGAATTTGATATGGGGTTCATCCTTAGTCCTAGGAAAATGAAAAAGTTGAAAATTTAAAGGGAATGACGGTGGATTCAAGTTGGAAATTGAAACAGTCGAAAAAGTATAGATCAGAGAAGGAAGAGGACGAGTATTGTGATGAAGGTGAAGAGTTTGCCATTGATTTGAAAGAAGATGGTGATGAAAATACCTTACTAAAGAGTGTGAGTGATGTTTCTATTGGAGTAGATATATCACCAGAGAACGAAGCAGACACCTCATGGAGTTGGCTATGAGGAGCTCGATGCTTAGGGCGAAGCATCCACATGGTCGCTCAAAGAACCACTTGTGCCTACAACTGAGATGAGCAGGAAAACATTTGCATTGCACATAGCTAGGCTATGCATTAGAAACAAGCACATGAGGACGAGCAAGTGTGAATGGCTGAGTGCAAAATGCGAGCATGGAGGGCCAACAATTATGCACAATGAACAAGCATTGAGGAAGCGAGACCACCAAGGACTTGGGATTGGGTCACATGTGATGCGGGCGGATTTAATGTGAGAAATTTTCAAATATTATTCAATATTACAAAATTACACATGGCATATATATAATAAAAATGCAATATAATCCCAACAAAAATAATTTTTTTGAAAATAATTTATCTTTTACTCATTTTAAACTGTCAAACCCCCTTTAAAATCAACACAAATATACGTATCGCTCAAGTAATAAAGGAATCTAATGGAGTCCTGAATATTGATCCCACAGGGAAGTTGGAAAATCCTAAAAGTAAAGTATGAACATTATTTTATAATCTAAAAGTACAAAAATAAAAGTAAAGTAAAGTGCGAAGTTTGAAAATTAACTACTAAAGTGAATGCCAATTAAAATGTAGATGTACGACTACATAAGTTAAATTAAACTAAATACCAAACATTTAAAAGTAAAATTACGAAAATTAAACAAAGTTTTTGTTGTGACGGAAAGTTTAAATCTAATATAACATCATTCCCCTTTATAATGATACATAGATTGTTAAGAAATTGAAATCATTTGAAATTATATATAAAAGTTATTTTGTACCAAATAGGAGCAATCCAATTCTTTACCCTCTTCCGAGTGCTATAATGAACATTGACTAATCTAGAGTTTGGTCCCTAATTCCGCGATTAGGCTGGGATGATACTGGCTGCCATTGCAGAGCTCCTACTACTCCCTCCCCTGAGGGCTAACAATCTCGCATTAGTTTCCAATCAACTGGACCAAATTGAGGATTTTAATCTGTCACCTTAAAATCTCTAGTTCTGCATCCAACAAAGTATATTTTCCTATTTGTTTTCGCTCAATCCCATGGATAACACACTCTCCCTTGAAATCAAATGTGATTCTCCCTATGTTGTAGAAATCATATCTCATTTAAGAACATATGTCTCTCAACAAGTTTTAACATTTCAATTGGTCAGATCGAAAAGTAAATGAAGATCGGAGTTCAAACTATCACAAATTAGTAACATTTAAAACCGTATAAAACAAAATCTATTCTTCACAAAACCATATCTCAAAGTACGGAGAATGAAAAAGAAAATTACTCAGAATTCATGAGAAGGATACAACAAAACATAGATTTCATATATAAAAACAATTTTACTCATATATAAAAATAAGTTTGTTTATAAACAAAAGAAATAAAAATACAACTTATCTCACAATCTTTCCCAAGCAAATCCCTAGATGTTCTCTCCAAGTCTTTCTCTCTTTACAATCACTCCCAATTCTCTCTTAGAAGTGTAATGAAGAAGAAATCTCTCACTTTCTCTCTCCTCTTACAACCTAAGAAGAAAATCTCCTCTTCTCTCTCTATCTTTAACTCATGTCAACTTTCTCTCTCCCTCACGCCACACACATGACAAATGAGAATTCTTCTTTTATTTTGGTCCGCCTTCTTTGGAAAAGAATTCAAAAATTTCTCCAAAATTCCCTCTAAAAGTCAATTCTTTTGAATTCAAAAGATATGTCATTTGATCCAAGAGACATATCCCTTCATAAAAGAACCTTCCAAATTATCTAGATCATTAAATTACTCTGAAAGGTGTGTAGAAAAAGTGCCAACTTGAAATTCGCGCAAAAATGTCTCGAACTGCCTTAATTTGAAAAAGTCTTCCCTGGCGCATCATGCGTCAGTTCTCTGGATTGATGTGCTAAAATCTCAAAATTCGCTGTTTTGGCTCCAGATTTCGTTCTTTTTGTCATTTTTGCTCCAAATGCCTAAAAATGATATACCTGCAATAAAAAATATACCTGTATACCTGCAATAAAAACATGAAAATACCATTCTTTAAAGTGCAATATCACAAAAAATAAGTATACATTAGGTACTTAAAACAATATATTATTTTGGTGCATCAACGTGGAGGTCACAATGTTTAAGACTTGTTAAATTTTTTGAGCTTTATTAAAGGATTAAGTATTTAAAACAGTATATTATTTTTGAGCTTTATTATTTTGGTGTATCGAGTTGACTTTTTTGTTTTTTTATTTTTATTTCGGCTTCTTTATTGAAATCTCTACTTAGATGACTAGCTCTTTCATTGGCTTGGGTGGAGATTAGCATTTAAAATAAATTTGTGATACTGTTAAGATTTATCCTTCCTCTTTCATGGCTGCTGAACACTATGTAGCTATTTGCACTGCAAGCTAAATAGGATTAAGGTTTTATGTAAGAAGCATTTTGATATGCATATTTAATAGCCATGAAGCTGTTCAAGATTATTTTAAAATTTTTTACAAATCGAACTTATGAATCATACAATAAAGCCATGGAGAGTAATAACAAGGGAAATTTTCTCTAGTTTTAAACATTTTTTTGGTTTATGTGGGGGAGATATACTTTGGATTTTTTTTTTTGTTTTATATTTATTATTAGAGTACAGCAAGTAGCAGAAAGTGAATCTTCATAAAAAAATTATTAATCTTGAGGTGAAATGATTGAAAAATTAGCATTCTCTTAGTATGATCTTTTGAAAGGTTTGGCTAAGATATGTTGAAGTCATTAAAGTTATGTATAATAAAGCATTAATCGGTAATAGAAGTAATTGAAGAGTGATCGAATTATTTTTGATTATGATGGAATTATATTAAGGATTGATATTGGGTGCTGTATCTTTTTTTTTTCTTGATTATGAAAATGCTAACAAAGGATATTCAAAATATGATTCCTAATTTCATGTTGTTAATAAATGAATTTGATCAAGGAGACGTGCTAAATTAGTGAATATTTAGAATAATGAAGTCGTTTAAATGTTATAGGGTTTTTAATGAGTAGGGATTATATAAGGATTGAACACGAGAAATTTTCTCTAGTATTGAATATTTAATTTGGTTTATGTTGGGGAGATATACTATGTAAATAATTTTTGTTTTATAAGAATTATCAGAGAGTTGTGTTCATAAAAAAAATTATTAATTCTGAGATGCATGATTGGAAAACATTAGCATTCTTTTAGTATGGACTTAAGAAAGTTTTGGCTAATATATATTGATGTCTTTAAAGATATGTATGATAAAGCATTAATTGGTAATAAAAGTAATTAATGAGTGATCAAAGTATTTTTGATTATTATGGGTTATATGAAGGATCAACATTGGGTAATATATCTTTTTTTTTTCTTGATTATGAAATGCTTACAAAGGATATTTAAAATGAGAGGTCTTATTTCATGTTGTTAATAAAAGAATTTAATCATGTAGAATTGCAAATTAAGTAAATATTTAAAATAATGGAGTTGTTTAAATGATATCGATCCCTTAATGAGTAGGAATTATATTAAGGATCAACATTGGTACTATATCTTTTTTTTTTCTTGATTATGAAAATACTTGAAAAGGATAATTCAAATTAGATGCCTTATTGCATGTTGTTAATATGTGAATTTAATCAAGAATATTTAGAATACTAGAAATGTTTAAATGATATAGGGCTCTTAATGAGTAGAAAAATTGTTGAGTATAACAGATTAATGTCGACCATTTGATGACCCTATTAGGAGAATATATGTTTTAGACTCGATTTATGTTAAGAAAGATAGAGATAGACCTAAAAAGACTTGAGCATCATGTATAAAAAATGACCTTAATTTATTAGAATTAAATGCGAATATGACACTCAATAGGACAATGGAGAAAAAGGATTCATGTATTCCACCCCAGTTAGTGGGATAAAGGCTTGTTTTTGTTGTATATGAATATTTATCAATGAATATTTTAAAATATTATGTGATTCCTAGGTATGATTATTTTTATTTCTTGAATATGTTATGTATAGCAATAGAGTATAAATGAGCATATGACTTCTAGAAAAGAATGATTGATTAAAATGGAGAGATTTTTTAAGAGTACTGTGTAATAAGAGGATATAATAGAGGCATTAAAAAGAATTTTAATTTTTCAATTTGACCAATGTTGTATGAACTTGAGTTTTAAGTGAAAAAAATCATCAATAGATTAATGAGAGTGGTGTAAATCAGTTCTTAAGATATATATGTGCAATGATTATGAATGATAAATTAATGAATTGGCATATTTGATCAATGATTGGAGTACATCTATTGAATGTAAAGTAATTGAAAATAATTATTAATTATTTGGATTTCTAGAACGAATATGCACCTATTCAAGGAACTAACGTAGTATGGATAGAACTTGTTGAAGTTGATATGTGAAGAATATGTTCGGCATCTTAATTAGAACTCAACAATATGTAATAGAAATCGAATTTTTATAATGACTCTATATTGTTTGGATAAGAGTATTGATAAAGTTGACTGGTAATGCAAAATATTTAGAACACAATTCTGGTAAACTTGATTGCATATGTTTTTCTTACTTTAGCCTTGTCCGCAATGGCAATGCTAGCTTGAAATTAGGGTTTTTTATAATTAGCCTTTAATGTTTTAGATTGGCCATCCATGTAGAGATAAAATGTTGTAGATATGACTAATCTTTATATGTGATGGTTAACACGTTGAGTTAAGGTCTACATGGTTTAGGGAAATGATGGTTTGAAATTTTAGGCTATGCCTATAAATTGTTTTAATTTGTTTTTCTTTGCTCAAATAATGTGAAATCATCAACCAAAATTTCAGCAGCAAAAGCAGTTATTCTTCAACTGCAGGTCAAGGAATGATTCCATCTGAAATTGGGGGGCTAAAAATCTTACATTTTCTGCTGGAACTTGTAGATATCCTCAGTGCGAGAATGTAGGGTTAATGTGCATTGCCTCATTCAATTCATGGGTTACGATTGTTTAGCCTACATTTAGCATGCTAATTACTACTTACGCCTTCTGAAACATCTATGTAGTTTAATCTAGCTTGGTTTTTTCTGTTTTGTTATTAATTTTAAACTGTTACTTTTGGACTTCTTGGTACTTGAGATCTTATATGTTATGCTAGAGGGAATATCAAGTGAATTTTGTTTCTAAATCTCTTAGGTATTTCTACTTCTTTATTTTGTTTACTAAGCTTGGCTATGAAAATGCAATTTGTGAAGTACTGCTTATTTTTTCTTTTTGAAGTTTATAATGATACTGATTGGTGTACTTCTTTTTGCATTTTTAAAAGGTTCTTCTGCAGCATCTTTTGTTCAAGCTCCTGCTGATTCTTTAATGGAGGATGCATTCAATTTTGGGCAGGTAATGTCCATTCTTAGCTCTTTTGCTCTTTTTTGTGTTTATTTTTTTGGGTAAAACTGCCCCTTTTCAGTACTATAAAGGAATTATTTTTTGCTCTTTTGATCCTTGATAATGAAGTTTCTCAATGAATCTTTACTTCCTTTTCCAACGTTGAAATAGTGTAAATTTATGTTAGTTGTGTTCAAGAATTTCTCTTAAAGGTCTCAATTTTGCTGATTAAATGCATTCCTTTTGTGCTATAGAAAATACAAACGTTTATAAAGCTAGTCTTTAATGGACCAAATTTTACTTTTTATCTAAATGCTAAGGTGCCTATTTTTTTGTTGAGTGGATGATATAATTGTATTTTTATTTTTTGTCAATAATTTCTTCTCAATAATTTAATTTTTGATAACCTACAAGTAGTTTTCATACCATCCATACATATATGATTCAAATTACTTGGCTTGCCATTTTGTTATTTTTTGTATAACCTCTCATTTAATTTAAATTTTTTCACTATTGTGTTACTAGTCGTTAATCTGATATGTAGGGATCTTCTAGAAATACAAAAAGTATAAATCAATTGCTGTAAATAGTAAGATATTTATTTTTCAAGATTTCAAAGGAAAAGTTACGAAACACAGAGACATTATTACACTCTATTTTGGCTAATTTTGAAAGTAGTCATTTGGTTAATCGTGTTTGGTTGATTTCAAAATGATTCATGTTGAAATTGCGGTACAAAATTGATCTCATTTTAGTAAATTTGAGAAATGTTATACTCTAGGATTTATTACCAGTATAGGAAGGATTATTTTTTATTCCCAACTGGCCAAATTCTACTATATAACCAGCTACGTTAGATGGACTTTCTGTTATGCATAATTGATGATAGTTTTATATTCCTACGCTTATTTCACATTTTTGTATGGATATTTATGGAACGAGCTATTGGAAATATGCTTCTAATAAGTTGTAATAATATTTTTTTAAAGGATGCTTTAGGCCCTTTTTTTCCTCTCGCATAAAATGGGAAGCATTTTCTGTCACTCAAAATCTGAAAGTAAAAAAGGGTATTTTAAGTAGCAGTCTAATTTTGATGGTTTCAAATAGTGGATATATCTTTAATGTGTGATTTTTTTAACCGGCCATCATTATTTTGTAATCATGGTCCGTGCTCACTGCCATGTTGCTTTCTGAAAACCTGTTTTTTGTTCTTCATATAGAATAAATAATTATCTTAAAGAAGATTTACATAGCACTCAACCCCTATGTATTTACATATCCAACACCTAAACTTTAATTTTTCCATGCGTGCCAACTTACCTGCGTTTGCAAAGGTGTATTTCACTTTTTTTAAAGTTAAAATTGATGCTATTTTTGATGTGATGTGAATGATTTGGGTTCTATAAATGTAAAAAGAAAAGATTAGGTGTTAGATATGTAAATGCATAGGAAATAGGTCTTATCTATGTGAATGTCCCTTATCTTAAGTAACATCAACCCAACTATTTGTGGTCAGATTGTGAATTCTCCTCCATTCATATATTTTTTATGCAATAAGTGAGGTGTTATTCTATTTTGCATCTCTTTGTAGATCTTTTCATGTGACTTTAGCCCCTTTAACATTGATTTTGTTTACCCACTGTAAATGGGGTTAACCCAAATGACAAAGGAAATTCAATTTTTATTATTGAAATCAAAGAGATTATAACAAAAAAACACACGAAAATAAGAAATAACCAAAATGCACAACACAAACCTGAACTAGGGCTTTGGTCGAGGGTGGTGATGTTGTGGTTTATGGGAAAATTGTGGTATGAAGGGTTGGATGGTCAAATGACAGCAAGCTTGGTTTGGCTGGATGCCAGATTAGATAGGAAAGGTTGCGGTTGGGGTAGCGGAGGGTAGTAGAGGCTGACTGGAAGGGGGCTGCAACAATAAAAACAACGGCTGGAAGGGAGGCTGTGGCTGAGGAGGAGAGGGTTGCTATGAAGGTGGCCTGGATATCGGGTGACAGGATGGATTGGGAGATGGGGAGGATTTGGCAGCTGAAAAGAGGTGGGTGTCATGGGTGGCTGGATGGGTAGGAGGAAGGGTTGGGCTGTAGGAGACATCAAAGGTGTTGACTTTGGGGAGAGGGATAGCTGCAACAGTGACGACAATGACAATGACAACAACAACAGAGGAAAGATTGCAGAGGATGGGGAGAGTTGAGAATAATCACCACCTTAGACGAGATACATTCGGAGCACTACCGTCTTCGGATACTGTCCCAGAAGGGAGAACAGGAGACGCCTACGACTGCACTAACAAAAACAAAATAATACTAAAAACCTAAAACACATGAATCAAATATAAAAGTCCTAGATAACTACGATTGGATCTTTCTACGGAAGGAGGCAGGAAACCAATGTAGAAGAGTCAGTCGACCATCCCAGGTTTGGGCCAGTTCAGTTTAGATGAAGGAATCGCGAGATAAGCTCCCACGACTCCTTTACGCTTGCATTTCCTGAGGCTGGGGGAGCTTCTATCTTAGCGGAGTTGCGATAACTTTCCGAATTGAAGGATCTTCTAATGTAGCATGAGAAGCACATGAATCTCACTTTTGACGGCACTGCCTCCCAGAACACCTAAATTTTCCATGCGAACAGTCATCCATATTAGTCCAACCATAAGATGGTTACACTATTGAACTAAACTTTGTCTTAGTGTCAATTGTACCTTGCAGAGTCTTCCAAAGATATTTCCAAGTTGTCTCAATCCTAAGTAACCTGAGAATAGATTGAACTTCTCCTGATGGTGGCGGCCATGGTGGTAAGGTACTGATCATGATATCTTGACGTGCATTTTGTAGTGGTTGGCCTGCATCTATAATCGACATCTCTATCCCGTTTTCATCTATTGTCACCAAAACAAGTACCACTAGTATTTCTCTGTTGGTAAGACACTCATAATCTCAGAGTTAACAAAAAGTAGGACTATGCGCTTGCCAACCTTAGTAAATGAGTTGGTATTCCTACACCTGTCATGTTGAGGTTGATAATCAAACTACCACATTCTTCTCAACAAAAGGTAGCAGAAATCCATGGCCACCACGTCGCATCAAACCTGATCTACGGGAGCTTCTACCTTAGGTATTCCTCTAGTTCAACGAGCCATTGTAGCATTTGGTTGAATTCCCGCAACATCTTGTCTATGATAAACTCCTTATTAGATTCCAACAATTGCCTCATTAGCAACATGATTAGAGATTGGGTGTGGGTAGGTGGAAGGTGTAGCGGTGATGTAGGGCGGGAAAGAAAAATTTTTGGTGGAGATATGATTGGGTATTGGTGGATGCTATTATAGATTATGATTATGCTAGATCTGATACCAAATAAAACAGAACTTAACTCAATTGACAACAAAAATGCAATTTTTATTACTGAAATCAAATAGAGATTAAAACCATAAACACTCAGAAATAGGAAATAACAAAAATGCACGGCACAAGCTCAAACTAGGGCTTGGGTCGATGGTGGCGGTGTCGTGATTTTAGGGAAAATAGTGGTATGGAGGGTTGGATGGTCGAAAGGCAACAAGCTGGTGGTTGGCTAGATGGCAGGGGGGAAGGCTGTAGTAGAGTGGTTATTGTTGGGATGACAGTGGGTGGAAGGGTTGTTTACGGAAGGGAAAGGGGCGGTTGGTTGACAGGGGCCTAGAAGGGGGTTGTCGTAGGAACGACAACGGTTGGAAGGGCAACTTGTGGCTGGGATGGAGTGGGTTGATATGAAGGTGGCTAGGAGATCTGGTGATGAGATAAACTGGGAGATCGGGAGGATTTAGTGGCTAGTAGGTGGTGGGTGGTTCGATGTCTAGGAGGAAGGATGGGTTGCAAGAGACAACAAGGTTACTATCTTTGGGGAGAGGGATGGGTTCAGTAATGACGACGACGCCTACGCTAGCAACGGTTGCGGTGGATAGAGAGAGTCGAGGATAATTACCACCTCATATGGGATACATCTGGAGCACCACCCATATTAAAATATAACCGTAGAGGTGAGAATTGGGGACACCTACGGTTGTTTTAACAGAAACACAATAAAAAACTGATAACCTAAAGTATAGGAATCAAATCTATAAGCCTCGATAGCTAAGATTGGATCCTCTATGGAAAAGGAGATGCCAAACCAATGTGGAAGAGTTAAACGACCCTCCTAGGTATGGTTCGGTTCGGTTAAAGACGAAGGAATAACGGGATAGGCTTTCGCGGCTCATTCACGCTAATGTCGGCCGCTTTTTTGAAAATTCTCTTATCTTTTGTGGTACATGCTCAAACATCTAAACTCAATTTCCTGTTACAATTTGAATGATTTGATCATTTAATTTGAAGGCTAAAAGTAAATCAATAAGCTATTCATAAAATTAAAGTAGAAGGGCGATGAAAGTGAGAACTCAACGTAAAGCAACACTAGATGTGCAAAAGCAGAGTTGACATCGACTATAATATTTAGGAAAAATGTAATGATAAGGTTATTCATACGGTTGACACATAGTTGGGATGAACCTAGTTTGGATTTTTCTATCTTTAACCATTCAATTAACCAATCACATATTTCCATTATGTAGACAAACAATTACAAGGTGAACCCTCTAGGAATGTATTTGTAACTAACCATCGTGATTACTATAAACATTTTTTTGTCACAAGTCCATAAAACGTGTAAACAACCTTAAAAAAATGTGTGCTTTTTACAGTTGCATTTAAATCTTTCTTTTTTGCTAAGTGCATTTTTATTGCCAAGATCAATATTTATGTTTAAATGTTGGTAGTTGTGCATGATTCATAACTGAACGTTTCACTAATATTATTTCTTCGCAGGGTAATGAAGAAATTTCGTGTATAGATGTGGAGGATTCAAATTTGGATGAAAAAATGAGTGAAGAAAACTTGCAACTCTTCAATAGGTAGCTACTAAAACTTATACAAAGGAAATGTATTTTTTTCCCTCTATCTTTGTTATTGAAATCTGATC